TCGCTTCAGTGCCAAACAGCTCAGTTCTTCCCTGTGTGTCTCTGGTGCCCCTCGAGCTGCCTCCCCTCCAAGCTTAGAGGGAGAGAGTCTGATAAGTCCGTGCGCGGGCCCTTTAAGGAGCTGCCTGGGGCTCCAGCCGCCTCAGCTTCCCTGAGTCTCAGTTCCTGCTGGTTTTTCCAGCCAGAAGTTATGGGGATTCTCTTCCTGACACTGGAACCCTGAGCGGGGCACCTGGTATGGGACGGGGACCCCTCAGTCCTCAGGAAGGACCTTCCCAGCCAAGGTGTCCTCCTGATTTTTATCCGCCACACGTGGGTGTGGGACCAGCCCGTCCCCTCCGCCCCTCCTACCAGTCTGGATGTGGCTGCTGCTTTAATTCCGTAGTTGTAGGACTTCCATTCAGCTTGATTTCAGGCAGTTTTGAATGATGGTTGTTCTGTAGTTTAGTTGTAACTTTGATGTGGTTGTGGGAGGACGCGATACCACGTTTACCTACGCCGCCATCTTGACCGGAAGTCCCCAAAACAGAATTATCAAAAATTGAGTTTGTTTTTATTTCTGACATCCACAAAAGAACGCCCTCACACACAGAGTAAGATAATGTTATGCTGTGCTCCAGATAATTGCAGGATATTGGTTTTTTAAAAATATGTTTTTACTGACTTTTTTTAGAGAGAAAGGAAAGGGAGAGGGAGAGAGAGATAGAAACATCAATGTGAGAATCATGGATTAGCTGCCTCCTACGCGCCCCCTACTGGGGATTGAGCCCAAAAACACGGGCATGTGCCCTGACCAGGAATCAAACCAGGACCTCTAAGTCCATGGGACAATGCTCAATCCACTGAGCCACACTGGCCAGGCTGCAAGACATTATTTTGAAGACTAATCCTCGTGCACTCAGGGTGGGTGAGCAGGTGGTGGGACATAGCTTTGAATTTGGAGAATGAACATCCTTTGATGTTGTCTGAGTTTCTATGACTTTATGCACATGACCGTGAACAGGCTGAGGGCAGCTGTTGACCATTAGTGAGCCCTCAGTGGTGGGGCGGGCAGGGAGCTGGGCAGACTCTACTGTTGCCCACCCCACACTGAGCAATGTCATAAACTAGGGGGATTTTGACTGAGGGTTTGAGAATATCTCGGAGGCAAACAGAGTTCATTATTAACCTTGTGAATCTGTTCCATGTGCTCTGACATTTACTGTTATCATATTGATAGATTTGGTAGTCATCAGTTCTATTAATAAACTCTGCAGACCCAAGTCCTTTCCAAGTTGTCTTTAGGATTATTTAGTACTTCCTGCCGAGCTCTTCTGTTACAGCTGGAATATACCAGGCAAATACTGGGTCTAGATAAGGCACTGAGGTGGGAAGCTCTGGGCACCTGAAAGGTGGCATCGAGGGCCCAGGGACACCGGGATCAGACCTGGGTTCAGTCCCAACTTTGCCACTTACCAGCTGCACGTCTACATGGTCCCTATTATTTCTACAACCTCACTCTCAAGTCCCTCTCCCTGGTACAGTTCACATCTGAACTTTCTGCTTAATTGGGAGTAAGAGTTCCTGGAATCTGTGTATTGTGGAGTTTCAACTCACTTTGGAGGCATAAACTTGAAACAATTTAGTCATTCTGACCACTGTTCCTATCACCTGATAACATCTCAAGCAGATTGTTTTATTCCTGAAATCGTCTCAGTTTATAAACAATCAGCTTACTTTGGACCACCAATCTCACATCCAAACATAGCTCTTCCCCTCCCCCATCAGAGGAGGCGGGTGGAGGAGGTGAGGGGAGGCATACACTCTACCCTCTCACTCCCCCTCCCGCTCTGAGTGCCCAGAACAGAGTAGGAAAGGGGCCTCGGCCAGCTCGGACCCCTCCTGGCCTCCTCTCGCTCTGGTCAAGCGCTTCTGAGGTTATCTGAGGTGGGAGGTGTCTTGCTGGGCCTGGGGACTTAGAGTGCTGCTGCCGGGTGGTCTCCCCAGACAGGGTGATGGTCTCCTCAGACAGGCCTTGAACTTTCCTGGGGCACTTCTCAGAGCGGCACCTGTGTCCCCCTTAGGCCCCTGCCAGCAGTCCAGGCCTCCAGCCCACTCTGCGTGGGACAAAGGGCTTGTTACATGGGGAGCACTTTCTTGTTCTTTTTTTGAATCGAAACCATTTTAATTTATTACACTTATAACTACAAATGATAAAATGCATAGCTTTTTAACATTTTACACATGAAGCCCATCCACTTAAACATTTTACCTGACCAGGTAACACACATTTATTCTTTAAACAGAAACTACTTGGTGGTGGTGGAGGGTGTTTACACCTTGGAAATTTCATATTTTTAAAGTTTTGCTTAGAAAGTCCTCTTTTCAAGTGCGTATGTGAATGTCTTCTGAAAACTATTGTTTACATCCAAGTACTTTACAATATATTTGCCCAAATTAGGGCTGCGAGGTAAAAGCTGGTTTTTAGAGGATACACCCTTCAATTTGGCAAATACATGTGTCTGTTTACTTGATTGTTTGGACCTCAGCAGCCCTCTCCCCTCCTCCTTTTTATTATTTTTTTTTATTTTATTTTTCAAGTACAGTTTACATTCAGTGTTATTCTGCATCGGTGTCAGGTGTACAGCATAGTGAGACAATCATATACGGACAAAGTGGTCACCTGATGGTTCAAGTAGTCACCTGGCCCCGTCCAGTTATTACAGTATCATTGACTGCATTCCCTGTGCTGTACTGTACATCAGTCCAGTCGGTTAGCCTCTGTGAACTTGGTCTAATCCCAATGGAGATGATGTCAAAAGCCTAATTGGAGGCCCTTTGGGAGAGTGGAGTCTGAGCCAAAGGCCCCTCCCATCGCCCCAACCCCACCACCGGGTGGTTAGTTCCATTGCACACCTGCACCGCTTCCTGGCTCCGCCCCTCCCCCATGCCCTGCTACTTCACCGTGAAGGACAGGCAACCAGAGGTCCCTTTTACAGGATCTAGGGTTAGGTGTTTCCCCAGCCAGGCCTTTCTGGTCACAGGCACTTCTCTCCTGAAAGCTACTCCTGGAAGCCATTGTAATGTGTGATAAATAACCCCTGCCTTGAGGGCAGCTGTGGGGGCCTAATGGGATTACAGGGAGCGGTTGGCCCAGGTGTTCACTTTGGTTGGTTCCTGGCTGCTGGTCACAGTTACGCAAGCTGCACACTGCACAACTCCAGCGTCATTTCACCCTTCAGTCCTCAGAGATTATATCTTATTACAATTTTCTGGCAGAGCCCAGTCAAGTGTCAACATAGAGGCTCACAGCAGGGTTGGTGCCACCCAGGTGATGCCAAGCCCTCTCCTCTCCGAACACCAAGGCCTGCTCCCACTGTGCCACGAGAATCTTAGAAGCCTGACACCAAGGCTGATTATCCACAGTTCCCCAGCCAGGATTACCCACATCTTGTCCCCATGCCTCGGTGACCTCATGTCCTGCCTTAGTCTTTCTAGTGCCTCAGGCTGGAACTTCTTCCAGGGTTGGCGGGGCATCCAAAGACCCTCAAACCAGGCACTGTGCAAAGGGGGAAAGAGGATGGAGAAGGTCCCAGGGAACCTTGGAGTCAGCTTTGGACTCTGTCTTTTCAGGTGCTAGTCTAGGAGAGTTTAAAGGAGGTTCATGAAGAGCAGCAACAAGTGGATATATAATGACCGATGGAATGCAGCAATATAACCATGGAAAACAGAAAATAATTTTTGAAACATGTTATGTGACATTGATGTAATATGCAAATTTTTATTTTTATTTTTTAGAAAGAAATAGAAACATCGATCGGCTGCCTCCTGCATGCAGGATGGAGCCCAAAACCCGGGAATGTGCCCTGACCAGGAATTGAACTGGGACCTCTCAGTCCAAGGGACGACGCTCGATCCACTGAGCCACACTGGCCAGGCTGTAATATGCAATTTAAAATCATGGTCATTAAACAAATTTCTTCTCAACCCTTAACCCCAATTTATGTATACCATTAAGTAAATCATACTAACTTTACTCTGAATTTCCTTGATAGAAATACTCAAATATTAGCTTCTTTGGACATAAGCTGAGGTTTAGAATTTTCTGCTTGCCTGGTAGAAGTGCTTATAACTTAAAAGAGAGAGACAAGGGACAGTGACCTCAGGTTATTATAGCTATTAATTTGCATGTAGCCTTTGCTTCAAAACTGAGATGCAGCCAGATTTTTTTCCATTTGAAATATATTTGATGAATTCTATAATCAGAGAATACAGCTGACCCTTGAATTCTACAGGGGTCAGGAGTGCCAGTCCTCCACGAAGTCCATTATCACATATAACTGTCTTCATAAGTGGAAAGGCTTGCTGATTTATTTTGATATAAACTCCATGGTTAGTTGGGGCCACCTGCTGGCTGCATAGGGTACTGCAGCTCGGCTATATTTCAGACTGACCCATTGGTCATCAGGAAAAACCCTAGCAGAGGAGAAATTCCTGTGGTCAAGGGAAAGATGGAAAGTTTGTATGCACTGACAGACTAACAGTGGACAAACAATGCCACAGTCTAGAAGGTGCCACAGGGATTCCAAGCTCTTAGAACTAAAATGAAACTGCCTCATTGTGTCTTTTGGAGACTACAGTTTCCTTAAGAAAAACTATCAATTATATGTTAAAATATTCGGTATGTGTTATTATTACCCCTTCTTCATGCTAATTTTCAATGTATCCTTTCAGGAGATTCCCCTCACCCCAATCAGAATCCATCAGCAGTCTTATAATGGGATGGAAAAGGTTCACTTTTCAGAAATGTATTTCAGTTGCTGTTGGAACACATCTCTCTTCCTAAGGGAAGAGAGATAGGTCAACTCTATCATCACACTCCTTTTATTCTCAGCTACATGATATCCCCATACCGTTTTAGCCACTGCTTTTTCTTTTCTACTTCTTCCTCTTTTCTATTGTCTATAACAAAATGCAGGTGTACACAAGGTAGAAAACCCAGCAAAAGAAGAGGACGCTCCAGAGCATACAGGCGATTTTATTGAGCTAGTGCATTGGTGGGGAAGTTGTCCCCGTGATCAGCAAGAGCAGGCATTAGAGCGGGATCCGGAGGGAGGAGAGGCTGGGCGGGGCCTGGTCACTTGGTGACGCGCAGAGTTCTCTCTAGGGGGTCTGTGGCTCATCTCAGGGGCGACTGGATTCAGACACCCCCATACTTGGAAATGCAACGTTCACATTTCACTCCACCCTGAAAAAAAAGTGGGGTGTGGGGGAGAAGGTGAGGGATCCATAGTCACTGAGAGGCAGCCACCAACACTCAAATTCTTTTTTTGGTTTGTTTGTTTGTTTTTTATACATGCCCCTAGTGGGAACTGAACCCGGGACTCTCCGGTCCTCAGGCCGACGCTCCAACTGCTGAGCCAAACCGGCCAGGGCAACACTCAAATTCTCATCAACCAAGAAAGAACATCCTCCAAAGGAAAACAAAAAGTCCCGGTGGCTTCCTGGCTTCATGTCTGGGCTCTGGCAGTCATTCGTGGGCTGGGTACTCAGCCCTTTTCCCGGCTCCCAGAGGCCTGCTCAGAAGGACCGAGGCTAAGGCCTGCGTACTCACCGGGACTTTTGGCGATATTCCTGCAAAGCTTTCTCTGCCACGGTCTCCATAAATTTAGGATTGTTCATGGACACTTCTTCTGGGACAGTCACAGAGATGGGGTCAGAGTCAAAGAGCCTCAGAACCACCTTAGTGAAGCCAGAGGGAACGCTGGAGTCTGAGGAGTGGGAAGCCACCTGGGAGGAGCAAAGGTAAGAGAAGAGCTGGAACCCTGGCCAAACTGCCGCTCGCTTTGCAACAAAAATCAGGCTTACATTTGGACTGTTGACTCCTTTGCTTTTGACTAATCTCGACATGTGTACAACTCACCGAAAAGAAATACTCTAATTCAGACACTTGGTAGGTGTAAATGTCACCCCGAAAGACCAATCCAGGGGGAGCCCCACAGACTAAAAAATGATTTCCAGGCCTCTATGTTTTCTTTGGGCAGCTCCTGGCCTGGCTGTGGTAGAAAAGGAATCAGGGAAAGAAAATAAAGAGGTTCCCAGTGCGAGAGAAGCTTTCTATCACTGGTAGAGAAGGATGCACCAATTCACGAGCTATCATCCCACACAGTATACGGCAGGAAAGGCAGCTTCATGGACAGAGCACAGGGTCTGAAGCCAGGCAGGCAAGTTCTGATGCCCAGGGGAGACACTTATCAGTTATTCGACCTTGAGCAAGCTGTTGAACCTCTCTCACTTTCCTCATCCATAAAATGAGGTCATGACATTGTACCCCTGGGTGGTGAGGCTTCCACGCAATGGTTATGTAAAGGTCTTATGCTTCTTGCCATAGGACCAAATGCTCAGTGAAAAACCTAAGTGCCCCCTTTATATCTTCCTCCCATTCCACCCCCATGGAGGGTCACATCATCTCCAGCCTGCACCTTGGGCCCCAGCCTGCAGCTTCAGGACAAGACTCACCGTAGTGACCTGGAGAGAGAACGGGTCTTCGCGTTGAGTGAGGTTGGCCAGCTGGGACACCCAGTTAAACTGCTCGTTCAGCTGCTTCAGCAGAGCGGAGGTGTTGAGCATCTTCTGCTGGTAGGACCTGAACAGCTCGTCGTACTGCTGGGAGAGCTGCTCCGCCAGCTGGAGGGAGCTGCTCAGCTCCTCCCGCAGCTGGCTCTGCTCGGGGCTGCTGGCCGAACAGTCTGGGGAAACGCGCAAAAGGCACGCACGTGAAGGGAAGGTCGGAAAGGGAAGAACCGCGATGGAAATTCATTCACGCAGCCAGGACCTCGAGCAGAGCTGGTGCCAGTCCTCACTGTTTGTCATCCATCCGTGACAAAATAAAGAGCTCACCCCAGAATGCAACTGAACACATGGAGAAAGCCTCATTCTGGAACCCAGTGTCAGCTGAACCAAACGGTATGCTTAGTCCCATTAGAGACGGGGTGAGCGGCGTTGACCACGCTCAGAGAAGCGTGGACCTCAGTGCTCCGTGTGCTCAGACCTGGAGCCACGTGGACCTCAGTGCTCGGTGTGCTCAGACCTGGAGCCACGTGGACCTCAGTGCTCGGTGTGCTCAGACCTGGAGCCACGTGGACCTCAGTGCTCCGTGTGCTCAGACCTGGAGCCACGTGGACCTCAGTGCTCCGTGTGCTCAGACCTGGAGCCACGTGGACCTCAGTGCTCCGTGTGCTCAGACCTGGAGCCACTCTGGTGCCCTAGCCACGCTCCCCCCAATCATTTCCAGAGAGGAGAATGTCACATAGAGCTACCGTTTGTGTGGCACCTACTAGGTACCAGGTACCACATACGTGCTTTGGACACCCATTATCCGTAATAATCTGATGTATTCTAAGAACTACTAATAATGATTTTTTTTTCTTTTACCAATAATGAAATTGAGGCGCACAGAAGTAAATCACCCGCCTGAAGTCAAAGAATAAACAATTTGAGGGGCCAAGACTGAACCCAGGGCTTTAACTCCTAAACTTAGGCTCTTCCTATTCGGAGGCTGTGGGTCTGGAAGATTCTCCAAGCTTATCTTTTGGGCATAGCTGCAGAGTTGAAAATTCCGGCCCCAAGAGTTCACTCAGCAGAAGTGCAGGCCAGGACCCTCAGGTCACAAAGTACAGCGGCCTGGTGGCTGGGGGTCCTGGTTCCCGCCACCCACCACAGCTGGTCACCAAGCTCACCAGCAGAGCAGGGAAGGGCGGATTTATTCCCTTTGGGCCTGAGTGCCCACTGCAGGGTGTCAGATTGATGAGAGCTGGCAACTACCATCATCTCTAAACACCACTGTTTTTTTCTCCTTACCATTTTCAAAAATCTTCCAAGGAGAGCATATCAAACCCAAGCAAGATGGGGAAAGGAAATCTTTTCACACTAAAGAATGGTAATCATTTCATTAAATGAGTATATGTAATAATTCATATAAAATGATCATATTAAATGTAATCATTTGTATTAAAATCAAATAAATGTTAGGTAAGGCAAGAAACAGAATTACTAACAAGAAGCCAAGTTGGAAAAGATAGATAATGAATAACCTTAACTTTTTTACCAGAAAATAATTTTTAAAAATTTAAAAAGCCATGGAGAACAGAGACTCAGTCTAGAGAGGGAGGGGGATGCTGCCCCCAGGGGATATTTGGCCGCTGAAAACATTTTTGGTTATCACACCTGGGAGGGGGGTAGCTACTGGTATCCCATGGGTAAAGGCCGAGGATGATGCTAAACATCCTACAGGGTACAGGACAGCCCCAACTACAAAGAATGATCTGGTCCAAAATGTCAATAGAGAGGAAGTTGAGAAATTCCAGTCTGCCCCAGTCTGTCGTGCCTGCAGCAACCTTAAATAAGAGATCACATGTATTCCTCGGGGTAGAAAAGAAGGTGGCTGTTTCGGTAAGCTGTGATCAGTGACCCTTAAGATCAGTGCCAGGGGTGCCAATCTGAGCCGAGGCAACTCTATGTCTTTTCTTCTGGCTTTAACATGACTAACTTTCTTGTGGTGAGGTACTATATAATTTATGCTGTTCTAACAATAATATTGTATGGGAACAGCCCAAGAGGCTTGGCTGGGTACTCATCTACACTTTTCACCCATCGGCCTCCTATAACACTTGTATTTATTTTGCAGTAGCATCTAAAATTATAGGAATGTGCCTAGAATATTTAACCAGACCCCGAAGGCCTGCTCTGGCAAACCTGAACGTATTAAATAAGAGCAGGACCACAGCGTTGATTCTCTATTTACATGGGCAACAATTAACTCTTGCTGAGCATAGACTGTTGTGGGCCAGAAAGTGTTCTAGACACTTTCAGAGCTACCTCAAAGTAGAAAGAAACTAAACAATGCCCAGGTCTGATAAAGCTGAGGGGAACTATTTCCTTTGCCTCAGAGATGAACCCACCAAAGGCAATGTTGCTGGGAGGCTGAGGGACCAGCATCAGTGACCCATGGGTGCCCGAGACAGAACCCAAAATGCTGGTTAAGAGCACATTCCAAACATGGAGCACCTCCATGTGGGGGGTCCTGTAATGTTGGGGAGTTACTTAACCTTTCTTTGACTGAGCTTCTACCTCTGTTAGATAGGGACATTCATTGTACCCAACTCAGGGTCATTCTGAGGAGATAAGTAACTGTTTGCAACGTGTTCAGAACAGTGCCTGGCACATGGTAGGTGTTTGTTAAACAGAAAACGTACTATCTAAAATGTCATCGCCTGCAGGGAAGAGACGAGGATGTCTACTATGCTTGGCCCTTGGGAAAGGAATAACGGGAAAATCAAAGATGATGGCTTTTCAAAAAAGCATAGCAGCCCCTCCCAAGGCTTCCTGTTGACCATGTGCCGAATGACTTGGTAGGCGCTTTATATACTGTTTCCTGACTTCAGGGACAACTTTGTGCCCTAACCCTTGTCTCCTGATAAGGGGCCCAGGTGGAAGGGGGCAAACGACCTTCCCTGGTGCCACAGCTAGAAAGCACACAGCAGGAACTTGAACCCCCATCGTCTGACCAGTAAGGGTAGCCCACTGAAGCACCAGGGATGCGAGGCTCCCGGACTCACCCACTGACAAGATCTCCTGGCACTTGGCACACTGGTCCTTCATCCTCAGGCATCCCGTAGAGTTGTGACGGATCTCCTTGCACACCGAGCGGTTATCGTTGCCTTCAGGAGACACACAGGGGGAAAGAAGGGGTCGGTTGAGGGACCACAAAGAGCAGTACAGTGATGGGCTGCCCTGATCTTCCTGACCCCTTCCACACTACTGTTTGGCCCTTTGAGATGGTTCTGCAGGCAGAGCAGGTTGGAATTGGCCCGTGGACACTAGCCTCTGATCGGGGCTCCCTGCAGAAGGACTAGAAGATGGTTCCCGGGGTTTCCCAGCTGGGTGTGACCTGCCCTTTCACCATCTCCACCCAATGAGCCCCCTTCTGCCTCCACGGTCCCCTATTTGCACTTCTTTTTGGCATCATAGCCCATTTTGCTCTGCATTTTACCTGACTCAGTTCTCTCCCCCTACCCAGTCAGCACGCCCCTTGAAGGCAGCAATAGGATCCTCCTTATAACACAGGATATACAGTAGATCCTGGTCCAATTCAATACCCTCCTCTATTTCCAAATCATCTGAAGCCAAACCCCGATGTCAGTCAAACCACAGCATTTAGGAGGTGATGCTGGCCAACCAATGTCTATTGGTTCATTGAAGGAAATCACTTCTGAAAGTATTGGCTTTTCATGTCCATATTAGACTTCATTCGTTCATTGTATGCAAATTCTCTACCAGGCCCTAAGGTTACAGCCATGAATAGCTTTCTTAAGGTTATATAATTTGTCATCAATATATACATGGCGTCCACAGAAAGCCACCCGAGTTCCCAAGAGAAAGGGGTCTGGTTCCCTTGAGGGTGAAGTCAACATGATGCCCACCAGTTGCTGGAAGGTTCATGGTAAACTCCAAGCCCTGCAGGGATAGATTTGACCAGGTCCCACTTTATCAGCTACAAAACCTTGGGTGCACTCCTTTATCTCTCTGTCACTGCTTCTCCTCCTCAAATGGGGTTAATATGACCCTCACAGAGTTGCTGGGGGGAAATCAAGATGACACATGCCAAGTTCCAGAATAGTTCTTAGCATCTAATGGATTTCTCAACAAGCTGTCAGTTCCCATTCCTTCTTAGGGGGAATGAGACGTCTTTCTAACCTTCTGTGAATTCCTCCATTGGGAACTGGAAGAGAAGTCCATCAAACTGGCCATCCATGGCCTGTTGAGCCCGGTGTATCATGTCAAAGAAGGGCTGGAACATGTCCTGGAAGTTCATGGGTCCATACATGGGGAAAGGCATTATGTTTCGGGCTAAGCGGGACTTGGGATTGAAGTAGAGAGGCCTCCTCGGATTTGGGCCGAAGGGTGAAAAGTGGTGGGGATCCAAGAGATCCCGGGTGAAGAATCTGCTGTGGAAAAGTTCATCCATAATACGGGACACCTGGCTGAACCTGTCTTCCATGGTGTCCAGTACATGGGCCTGCTGCCGGTCATTCTCCAGCAGGGAGTCGATGCGGTCGCCGTTCATCCAGAAGTAGAAGGGAGAGCTCTGGTTCAGGAACTCCTCCAGCTGCGACAGGCAGAACGGGGAACAGTTAGGAGAAGCTCCCTAGAGTTCCAGGACCTCCCTCTTGTTGAGATGGGCCAGGCCCCTCTCCTGAGCGTGAGACTGAAGGCCCTGCTGAGACTGGCTCCCTGGTTTCTGAATTGTCGGGCCGGTGAACGTCTACTCTACCATCCCAACAGAGGAAAGCTTAGGAAGAGCCATGAGGCCACAGGAGTCACGTGGCCCGTCGTTTGAGACTAATCTGCTGTCTTCTTTGGCCACTAATGATCCCCACCCCTGCTCAGCCAAGGACCAACTGATGTCTTCAGTGAGTAGCAAAATTCACGAGTCCCAATTATGGAGGCCCACAGGGAAGGATGGGATCAACATTAAAGTATTAAAAATTCTTCATTTTTTCTGCCTAAGTGGACACAGGGCTCTGCCATACCACGGAGCAGTTTATGTAACCCAGCTAATAACTGTTGGATAAGTGTCTTCTAAGAGAAGTGGCAAATACCTGGCATGGGTGCTTTTCATCACTTCCTATTTCTGTACTCATAGCAGACATTACCAGTTGATAATGGCACTCTGGGCCCAAATGCAGGCAGAACTAATCAATTGCATCTGTGAGATGAAGCTGTGATATTGTGATTTATAATAAGAAATACATATTTGGTCTTTGACCCTTCCTAACAAAGAGCTCCTAAAACCCTTTAAATTTCCTATGATGAGAACAATAAAGGTGTCTTATATGATGTTAGTGAGGTGACTTGGAAAACACTTAAGGATGGAGGCTGGTTGCTAGGGAAACCAACATTGATGAGAAGGTTGGAACTTCCAGCCCTGGCCGGTTTGGCTCAGCGGGTAGAGTATTGGCCTGGGGACCAGAGAGTCCTGGGTTCAGTTCCCGCTAGGGGCATGTACCAAAAAAAAAGAAGGTTGGAACTTCCAGTCCTACACTTCTGGCCAATAGTTGCATCTGTCATGCATATGTTAATGAAGCCTAAATAAAACGCCAAAAGACAAGATTCAGAGTTTGTGGGGTTGTTGAACACGTGGAGATTTGGACAGAGTGGTGTACCTGGAGAGAGCGTGGAAGCTACCTGCCCTTTCCCTTACTTTGCCCCATGCATCTCTTCCATTTGGCTGTTTCTTTTATAATGAACCTGTAATCTTAGAAGTAAACTGTTTCTCTGAGTTTTGTGAGCAGCTTTAGCAAATTAATTAAGGAGGAGATTGTTGGAACCTCCACTCTATAGCCCAACAGTCAGAAGCTTAGGTGACAACCTGACAACCTGGAGGGGGTGGGGGACAGTCTTGTGGAACTGAGCCTTAACCTGTGGGATCTGATGCCATCTCCAGGTAGACAGCATCAGAATTGAGTTGAATTTTCGGACACCCAGCTGGTGTCGGAGAACTCCCACACGTTGGAATTGGGTGCAGAATAACAGAAGCAGTTTCATCAGGTTCTCCTCATTCCCCACTCAGAGCCTGGGCTGCACTCAACAGCGCTTCCCCTTTTCACCTGGTGGCCAACTAGCCCCGAGCTGCTTCTGCAGACACGCGCGTAGAACTTCATGCAGGTCTGTTTCAGGCAGGGCTTACACTCCTCCCAGAGGGCCGTCATGGTCTCATTGCACACGTTCTCGGATGCCTTCAGCTTCATTTCGGTGTCTTTTGTATCAGTTAGGGCATCCTACAGAAGGACACGAAGCCAGGCTAAGCACATAGAAATCACAGGCTTTACCCTCACCCAGCATGCACAGTGGTGCTGGGCCCTCAGTCACCCAGGCAGACCTTCCCACGTCTGGCCACACACTGTGCTCATTTCCACCCCTGCTCTGGCTCATCTGTTCCCTCTTTTGCCTTCCTGGGATTCCCTGCCCACCCAGCTTTAAAGATCCTTTCATCTTCAAGACCCAACTGTTCCTTAGTCCTCCCCCCGCCCCTAGAGCCCCTGTGGACATCTCCTTCTCTGACACCACACTTACAGTCTCTACCCCAGGATCTACCTCTCACTTACACTTCACTTCCTAGGCTCAACCTCTGGTGCTTAAAGGTCATCTTCCAAAGCTTCTGGAGGCTCCCTGAATCTTATGTGTCTATGGGAACCATGATCCCTGGCGTGCAAAGGAATAGGCAAGCTTTCAAAATCAGTCGCCACAACAACCCAAACTCCCTAGCATGCCCAGGTCATCTGATCTCATAATTCTGTAAGCATCTATGCCCAGGAATTCAGGAGATAAAGGACAAATTCTTATGCCTAAAGACACTTGTTTCCATAAGCATTTATGAGACACACACACACACACACACAAATACTAGAATTAAGTTAGATGTAAAACCAGGGGACAAGTTAAGCAAATTGTGGCTCATACTAAGGGTAGATAGGTACAGCATTACAAGAGATGTTTATAAGTCTTAATAATATAGTAAGCATTTTTTATGTTAAAAGTTCATGATTTGTCAAAAAAGCATTAGAGGAAAAAAGTACTAAGAAATAGATCAGATATTAACAGTGAATTGTCCTTAAGTATAAGAATTACAGAAACTCTTTTCCTCCTCTACTTTTCTATATTCAAATCTTGATGAATGAGCATTATTCTTCAAAGAAGAATGAAGTAGACCATGAAGACACGATGAAGATCTGACCAGGAGGAGTTCAAGGTATCCGATCTCCATCCTGCTCTCTGTTCCCTGCTCTGTGCTGGGGAACACCACCACACCTCCTACTGGGCCGATTCGGAGGTGTCAGCTACCCTGGTAACCTCCTTTCTTTCAGGTTCACGTATTCCTCAACTAAGAAGTAAATGGAGCCCTGGCCGGTTTGGCTCAGCGGTTAGAGCGTCGGCCTGCGGTCCGGAGAGACCTGGGTTCGGTTCCCGCTAAGGGCGCGTACCTTGGTTGCAGTTTGTCCCCGGCCCTGGTTGGGTCGTGTGGGTGGCAACCACTCGATGTGTCACTTTCACATCGATGTTTCTCTCTCTCTCTCCCCCTCCCACTCTATCTGAACAAAATATCGAAAAATGTCCTCGGGTGAGGATAAAAAAAAAAAAAAAGAAGTAAATGGATTCGTTTTCCGAACTTAATGAGCGTTATTATAAAATCTGGATTGCCAAATATCTAACTCCAACATAAACCATAAAAGTTCAAGAACAAGACTGGCCCCTCCCCCCTGAGCTATTTGAGGATCCTCATAGAATGGTGAGAACTAATACTGATGCCAAGAAGGGGCATAAAGTATCAAAGTTAGAGCTGCACCCAGGCCAGCATTTTCTTAAGTGGCTTCCATGAAATTGTGCTAAAAGCTATCAGAAAAAATAAAAACGGATTCCCTGGTCAATTTGATTTGGAAAACACTGAGTTAAATGAAGTTTCACAGGTTTCTGTGCTGCAGAACTCTCCAGAGACTTTAAAATGCTTTTACTATGCATTATGGATCCTGGAGGTGGCAGGTGGCCCCGTCTTAGCGTCTCCTTCATTAGGGGCAGGGGGGCAATAGGAGTTGGTTAGGATACCGTTAAGAAGAGCACTGGTTTTTAAAATAAATTGTTCATTGGATTCTAGTGTTTCAGTTTTGTTGAATCATTAATCACAGCCCAGAGCCACTATGTTCACTATTGGACTGAGGTGTTTCTGTATGAAGTGGTTTAGAACTCTAGAAATACATGGGGCAATTCAGTGTGTGCCTGCCTTGTCCCCAAAGTACCGCCCCTACTAGATAAGCTTTCTGAAGGTAGAATGCCGTCCCCTTCCTACCCCGTGACAGACCCTATCCAAAGCCTCCCTAGGAGCTCGCCCATAGTCAGGGTTTGGAAATATCTATTGAAGTGAATCTGGGTATCAGGCCCTGATATCAGGCTTGTAACAAAAGCAGACCCAAGATCTCACCCTCTGAAGCTTTCAAAAGCACATAAAGCCTCCCCATGCCTTAACCACAGGCCCAGTGTCAGGTGACACATCCCTAGAAAAACAAGAAGGCCAACATGGCACCAGGGCAGGATACCCCTGGAGGAGCCAGGACCCCGCCCCCTCCAGCAGGGAGTGTGGAACCAGGGGCGTGGTCACCTGGCTCCTCCTTACCTCTTTCTTCTTCTTGGCCTTCTCTAAGCTGAGGAGCAGTGATTTGCGCTCATCGTTTGTATGGTCCATTAGAGACTTTATATGTTTCACCTCCTTGAAGGCATTTTTAATTTCCTTATTAACGTACTTACTCCCCTCGGTGGACATTTCTGCAAGAGAAGGGCAGGGAAATAGAAAGAGGCAAGAGGAAGAGATGGCGCTGGAGCTACAACCCTGGAACCAGCTGGAAAGGTCAGAAAGGCAGTGGGTCCAGGGGCTGCCAAGGCTGGGAAACCCCTGGCAGGCGGCTTTGCCCTACATGTTCCCGTCACAGGGCTCATTGTGGACCCAGAGTCTGAGAATCCAGGGCACCTGCTGTTCAGAAGCACAAACCATGGGGCAGGCAGACCGCAGAGGGACAGCGAAACCACACCCCCGCGTGCTGGGTGCTGAGCCTGCCTGGCTGCCGAAGAAATTGTCACGGGGAAAGAAATCCTGCAAGAGTAACAGCTCAAGGTTCAAAACGGGAACTACTATTCTTTCGGAATAGAAGTCTTTCTGGGATTCAGGTTAACCAGACATCTGAACGTCTTCTCTCCAATTCATGGTGACGGAGACACAAAGCTACATTAATACCCGTCCCTCAAGGAAACTGTGACTAAGACATAGCACCATGTGACAAATGCAATGGGACAATGTTACCGAAGTAGCAGCTAATGCTTCTCTGGGCCAAACACTGAGCTGGACACCTGTGCATTGTTTTTAACACCCCAGCACCCTTGCACAAATTGGGAAAAGGGGCGCAGTGAGATCAAGATACCTGCCCAGGTGACACAGCAGGGGGGTGGCAGGGCCAGACTCATACCTGGCTCTGATCTCCAAGTTGGGGCTTTTAACCACTACCCAGAGGACAGGTCAGCTAGTAGGGCGAGAGTGGTGGAGGGCGGATGGGTTTCAGGAGAGGCCTGGCAGAAGAGGGGACCACCAGCTGGGCTCTGAAGGGTGACAAGCCTCATTTTGAATGATACTTCTCCTTCCCTGTGAGCAGAGGATACGGAGCGTGGTTTTCTGGGTGGGGAGGTGGAGATACATGTCCTAAATGCTATGGGCATTCAGAAAAGGGGGGCTCCACAAAGGCCCAAGTGGCCCAGGCTTCGTGGACCTTGGTGGAGGCGGCGCGGGCATCGGGCTGCACAGACTGGAGAGGAAACCGATGAATGAGAGGCAGCAGCCACAAAAGGCTTTTGCTCCACTTGAAAATGCCTGGCTGCCAACCTGACCACAGAGAGCCGAGGCCGGGGGCCCGGAGAAGAGGCTCAAAGAGGGACAGGGCAGAGCAAGCCCGACTTCATGCACAGGGTCAAAGGGCCTTTAACCCTTGCGGCCCTGACAGGGATGAAGCGTGCAAAGAGGGGCACTCGGGTCCGCTTACCTTGGAGCTCTCTGCTTGGGACGGCCGGCTCGCCCAGCACCTGCCCATTCTCCCAGGCCGTCAGCAGCCCCACCAGCAGCAGCAGAGCCTTCATCTTGCCTCCTCTGGAATCCTAGCACGCCTCTGTTTGTGGAGAAAAGGAGACTGTCATGGTAACAGCTAGACAGCCTGCTGGTTTCTGGCCCAGCCTGCCGCCTGCAGCAGCTTCCCAGGAGCCCTGCCATGAGCTGTCCCCTCTCAGCTGGCACCACTGCACTTTTATCCCCGGGGAAGCTGGGAGGTTATATCAGACTTGACAATGGACACTTTCAAAAGAAAGTGGAGGCAGTGGTACAGGGAAGAACCACAGGACAGCAGCCTAATACAAAAGAAACAAGAGTTCTGGAGTCAGAGCTCTGGGCTCAGGTCCAAGCCTTCCTCCTCCTCCTCCCGCATAAGAGCTAATGTGTCTGAGCAAGGCACACGCAGTCTGCATCCTGAAAAGGGTCTATCTGATGATACCTGCTCACATTAAACCACCCTGAAAACACCTCTCTTGGATCACTCATCTGGCCTCCCCTGGCCCCCATCAAGTGGGGACCACATCCCAGAGCTCAGCTGCCCACAGGCACCGTCTCAATCACTTCTCCCCACTGAGCCTCAGCACCACCTAAAACTGGTTTCAAGAGTCTGAGGCCCCAAGGGCCAACCCTTTGGGTCGGCACAGGAAAAGAAATCCATTTGTCACCCCCAGCGTGAGACCTGACCAGGCTGCATGGATTGGCGTAGAAATAAAGAGTGGGCCAGGCAGGAAAGACCACTGTCTTCAGGAAGTGGAGAGGGAAGGGCAAAGTCAAAGGGTTAACTCTGGGACCAAGGGGTACTTGGGCCCTGATGCCTCCCCCGAAGCCGTCCCCCTGGGAGGACATGTGCCTCTGCCAGGGCCCTTTCACAGGGCCTGTTTCCTCTAATCCACAGCAGGGTGCCCTGCCAAGGTGTTCTTGCCACCACTCTGGGCTGGCTGCCCTGAGCCTGGGGACAGCCCAGTCTTACACAATAGACCCTTTCCCAGAAGCTGAAGTTATTGCATAAAACAGAAACCCCTCCCCCTGTAGTCTGCCCCCTACCAACTGCTAATCTGAACTCATGCATTTCCCACGACAGAATGGGGAGGTGGGGTGCCCTCTGCCCGAAGTCGGGCACATCCCAAACTGCTCTCAGCTCAGCAGGCCCATCTGGATGTTGGAAGGACATTAATAAGGCAAGCCTCTCCAGGAAAGTAACTCGTAGGGCAGCCGAGTTGTGGTTCCCCAACCAGCTGCACAACGCACCTTAGCAGCCGGAGGAAGGGAACGGATCATGGCCTTCCCTGGAGACAGGTGGGCGGCTGAGCCAGGTGCTATTTCAGGCCTGCCAGAAGGTCCTGGTCTAACAAGTTGCCCTAGCTGCTCACTGAGGCCTGAAATGCCTCAAGCAGGGACAGCGTCTTTGTCATGCGAGAGAGAGACAGTCAGCAAAATATACCATTCCAGGTGAGGTCCCTGGTAGCAACGCCTTCTGAGAAATCCACAAGACAAGGCATTGCGCCCTGAAGAAAAGGGAGGGTGGGTGGCGAAAGAGCACTGGGTGAGGAGTCGAGAAACCCAGCAGCCAGTACAGGGTCTCCAGCAGGAGCCATCGAATTTAGAGCCAGGAACAAGATCAGTCTTCTGCTCAATTCCTCCAACCCAGAGGGGATGCCGGACCCAGAGACAGCATGGGGCTCCCCAAGGTCTACAGCAAGCTCATGGCAACCCCAGGATGAGAACCCAGCTCTCCCAATTCCCTAGTCCAGTGTTCTTTCCTTGACACCAAGTCACTTAAGTCTGTGAGCCTCAGTTTCTTCATCTGTAAAATGGACCTAATATAGACCTCAGAGATATAAATGTGTTCTGTAAAACAGGGTCTTATAGGATCGTAGTGAATTCTGACTACTTCACAAGTTGATGTAGAACCAAGTGTGAGCATGGGCAGTATCCCTCAGGGAAGTGGGAGCAGGTGGCAGGTTTGGAGAGGGGCAGAGGAACAGAATCAGGCACACAAAGGCCATCTGTGGTCCCTTCCTAACTGTGTGGCTTTGCCTTAGTGAAATGACCCACTACTTCAAAGTACCTGTGAATCCCTGGGGGGGTGGGGAGGGCGGGAACAGGGGTCATGTTATAATGCTGATTCTGGTTCAGAATCTGCTTTTCTAACAAATGTAAAGGTGATATTGATACTGCTGGTCCCAGGACAGCACTAGAACAGCGGCTGTGTGGCCATCAGCTTCTCTTTGCTGTGACTTGCCTCCCCTCTCATCTCCTGACCTGGGCACCCATCTGGCACCTGCTCTGACTAGACAAATCAGGCCAAGACCCTCCTTCCCCCACCATCCATCACCTGGCAGCCTTCCCCCTCAGGAGGGCTTAAACCCTGCAGAGGGAGCTTGGGGAGGACACGGTGACCGACCGAGGCAAAGCAGTCACACAGCTTATAAACTGCAGGGTTTAAAGTCCATGGCCTAAACTCCTACCCTATTTCCTCCCCAAATGTGGGAAACTAAACCAAAGAAAAGTAAGAAAATAATTCACCTCTAATTCACCTCTTCCAGAGGCAAATGTTACCACCGCGGTATATTTCCTTCTATTTCCTATGCATTTGTATACAAGCAGATTCTTTACATCCTTTATATCAAATATTCTTTTTATATAGCCACACTTTGAAAATACAGCCTATTTTCTGATATACTCTATTTTGCTATCCCACAAGGCTAGACATTTAAATTGTAATCCTATTATAATGATCACTGTCATGAGGATCCTTTTAGGGTATCTGTACTTTTAAATTCCTAACCTTTCTCTTTAAAAAATAATATTAAGAATAATCACCTTTTTTTTTTTTTTTTTGTCTCATTAGGTCCAGCAATTCGGGAAGGTCAAGAGGCTCTGGTTCTCATCTCAATTCTGACACCTACTTCCTGTTTATCTTTGGAGAAGGTCCTAACCCCCTCCAGCCCTCGGATTATCATCTATAAAATGAGATGGTTGAGCCAGACGTCTGATGTGTGACTTTCCCCTGATGTACCCTGGCGCATTAGGTAGCAGAAAGAGTAGGATTTAAGGGGTTGCACCACATACTTAAATCAAAACATCATACTTATAAACGCACTACCCAGAGGACTAGAAAATTCTGAAGCAAACAAGATGACGCATGCACGGAAGCTGACAACCACCACTGGAGATGGTACCTTTACAAGGAGGATGCTGCAGAAAGGCCCTGTGTGCAGGCGGACTCTGCCCCTCATCAGCCCGAGCCTCTGGCAATAGATGTCAGTTCTCCAAGTCTTAGTTCCCCATCCTTGCAAGAAGAGGATCATTACACCTGCGCTATTTACCCACAGAATTGTGGTTGCAGCTAATGAGCCGAGTCCCAGCCTGTGCACCGCCCCTAGCAATCTGGCCTTCGGCTCCGATTCCTGGTGATAGGGGCTCCGGCTACCTATCTTCCCAGACTCCCTCCACTCCATCCATAGCGCAGTGCTGACAGCCCAGTGACTTCTAGCGATTGTCCCCGCCTCGCGGGTCTACCACCCCGCCGCCCATCGGCCCCGGTGAGGCTCCGCGTAGGGATAGGAAAGGTGGGGACCTCTCACCGGCCAGTGGTGCCCGAGCGCTCCTCCTGGCGACGCGGCGTGGTAAGCACCAGTGCGGCGCCCTTATTTATAGCGCTCTGCCTCGTGTACACCCCCTTTGGGGCTGGCTGCAAACCTGCATGACTCACGCCTGGGAATGCACCGGGAGCTTTCTGGAAGCTGGCGCGGGAGGGGGTGCGGGGGTGAGGGGATCCGGTGCAGCACCCCGCGAGGGGCGCAGGGAGGCGCAGCGGCACCGGGAAAGGCCGCACCATCTCCAGGGGAGACAGGTCCCAGGTGTGCTGGGCACCGCACCCCAGGAGGGGCGAGCCTGAGTTTTCGTGCACGGCTCAGCGCCCCTCTCCTCAGGGTTGGCGGGGTCCACTGTGCTCGGCGGTCCCAGTTCAAATTACACCTCACGGGTCTGCAGCTCTATTGAATGTTAATCTTTCATATTAAACATATTCCACTCCTCTTGTTTCATTTAAGTAAAAAAGTAGAAAAATAATGAGGGTGGAATGGGGAGGGGTGCTGTGCTTAAGAAGAAAACGTGGAGTATGAAATACTGATTTCCCAGCCACAGCAATCAGACAGGGAGAAAAAATAAAAGGGATCCAAATTGGAAAGGAGGAAGTGAAACTGTCATTATTCGCAGATGACATGATACTATATGTAGAAAACCCCAAAGACTCCATCAAAAATTTACTAGACTTAATAAATGAATTTGGCAAAGTAGCAGGATACAAAATTAACTTCAAGAAATCGATGACATTCTTATACACCAAAGATGAAGTCACAGAAAGAGAAACTGAAAAAACTATCCCATTTACCATCGTGGCAAAAAAATTAAGATACCTAGGAATAAACTTAACCAAAGAAATAAAGGACCTATTTGCAGAAAACTACAGGTCATTGAAAAAAGAAATAGAGGAAGATATTAAAAAGTGGAAGCACATACCTTGTTCATGGATTGGAAGAATTAACATCATTAAAATGTCCATACTACCCAAAGCAATCAATAAATTCAATGCAATCCCCATCAAAATACCAATGACATATTTCACAGAACTAGAACAAATACTTCAAAAGTTCATATGGAAGTAAAAAAGACCCCAAATAGCCACAGCAATCTTGAAAAAGAAGAACAAAGTAGGAGGGATCACATTACCAGATTTCAGGTTATACTACAAAGCCACTGTACTCAAAACAGCCTGGTAACGGAACAAGAACAGGCATATAGACCAGTGGAACAGAACAGAGAACCCAGAATTGGGCCCAAGACAATATGCTCAATTAATATTTGACAAAGGGGGAAAGAGCATACAGTGGAGTAATGACAGTCTCTTTAATAAGTGGTGCTGGGAAAATTGGACAGCTACATGCAAAAAAATGAAACTAGACCATCAACTTACACCATACATAAGAATAAACTCAAAATGGATAAAAGACTTAAATGTGACCTGTGAATCCATAAAAATCCTAGTAAAACAATGTAGGCAACAAAATTTCTGACATCATACGCAGCAGAATTTTCACGGATACATCACCTAAGGCAACAGAAACAAAGGAGAAAATGAACACATGGGACTACATCAAACTCAAAAACTTCTGCACAGCAAAAGCAACAACCACCAAAATGGAAAGTCAATCCACTGTATGGGAGAGCATAATTGCCAACGATATATCAGATAAGGGGTTAATTTGCAATATACATAGAGTGCTCATACAGCTCAACAAAAGGAAGACAAAGAACCCAATTAAAAGATGGGCAGAGGAACTAAATAAACACCTCTCCAAACAGGACATACAAATGGCCAAGAGACATATGAAGAAATGCTCATCACTAATCATCAGAGAGATGCAAATTAAAACAACAATGAGGTATCACCTCACACCTGTCAGAATGGCCGCCATCAACAAATCATCAAACAACAAGTGTTGGCGAGGGTGTGGAGAAAAGGGGACTCTAGTACATTGCTGGTGGGAATGCTGGTGCAGCCACTATGGAAAACAATATGGTGTTACCTCAAAAAATTAAAAATTGAATTGCCATTTGACCCAGTGATCCCACTTCTAGGAATATACCTTAAGAACCTGAAACACCAATCAGAAAGAATATATGTACCCCCATGTTTGTAGCAGCACTATTTACAATAGCTAAGATTTGGAAACAGCCCAAATGTCCATCAGTAGACAAATGGATAAAAAAGCAGTGGTACATATACACAATGGAGTACTATGCAGCTGTAAGAAAGAAAGACCTCTTATCCTTGAGACAACATGGAAAGACCTGGAAAGTATTATCCTAAGTGAAACAAGCCAAACAGAGAAAGACAAGTATCATATGATCTCACTTATTTGTGGAATATAATGAACATAACAGTCTGAGGAATGGGGTAGTCCCAGAGACGTGGAAGTGGGGTACAGACTGACAATCCCCAGAAGAGGGGGTGGGGAGAGATAAACCACAGAACGTATACGCATGTGTGCATGAACAATGGACATGGACAACAAAGCTGGGGACAGGGTGGGGAAGGAGGGGGAGGGGGAATCAGTGGGGGAAAATGGAGAAACATCTGTAACAAAAATAAATAAATAAATATTATTATTATTTTTTTTTTAAAGAAAGGGTTTAGAGGACAGCTGTATGATCAGGGGCTGTTTTTCTTTTTATTACTTTTGAGGTACAACTTGAGGCCCAGTAGCTGGTTGCTCAAGGTCCAGGGGTAACTAGGACCCCACTCCTCTTAGGAGGGAACCTGGACAAAGCTTCTAGGCCCGTGAAGAAGGAAGGAACCTGAACTGAGTGCAGGGAATTCTGACTGTAGTCCCAGCTCTGCACTGAAGTGCTGGGTGACCTTGGACCAATCTCATTGTCCTCTGGGTTTCTTCCTTCTGGACAGTAAGGAATCTGTTTTGTATCATCTCTAAGGTCCTCCCTTCAGCCTAAACTTAGACAATGCCAAGTGTGAGAAGATCATCAGCCCAGAAGAAAAGAAACATCTAGTGAAAATTTGGAACAGTGTTTCTCCCCGTAGGCTTTACTTTATTTTTCTTTGAAAAAAAAAAAAGTCTAATTATCAGTAACAGCTACATTTTCTATGGCAACTGCCTCCTCCTTACTGTATCAATGCCTGACGTTAGAATTGTGTCTGAGCACACTTCTTGTAACTTTTTTGTTCTGTAGCTTCCCCGGCATCTGGCACAGGACGTATAAACCTGTGATAATTATATTTTTTAGAATCAGACTTTGGAGGACAGGCAGGAAGATCTGCCTTAGTCAGCTAAAGTAGGGGGAGGGAGGAGGGGAAGAAGGGAAGAGGAGAAAATAACATAATTCACAGCCAAGACTGTGGTCCCCTAGGAATGATGACTTGATTACTCCAGCCTCTAAGCAAACAAGGCCCAGAAGATTTCATTTTGAGGGGGAAAGTGTGAATTTTGAAAGTACCATAAATGCATCGCTGGATTATGACTATTTGAAGTAAATCATAGAGGTCAGCTGGTTCAGCCCTCACACAATACTCAATTCCTAACCTCCCTGCCCTGCCATCACCTGCCCTTTGGCCTTCTGGACCTTGGCTCTCTTGAAGCTTTGGGCTTAGCCCTGGGCCTGCCCATACCATAGAGGACTGACCACAGCACAGAGCGGGACCACCTGTCCCTCACCCAACACTCCAGATTAGCTCGTAGTTAGCTGCTGAGTCACTGGGCTGATTCATTAGAATTCATCATCTTTTTGGCAATGCTACTTTTATTTAAAAATAATTTTTTTTTCTTTATTGATTTTAGAGAGAGAGGGAGGGAAAGGGAGAGAGAGATAGAGATATCAATGAGAGGGAACATCAATTGGCCGCCTCCCACATGCCCCCAACTGGGGATTAGGCCCACAACTTGAGCATGTGCCCTGGCCAGGAATTGAACCGGGGACCTCTTAGTGCATGAGTTGACGCTCAACCACTGAGCCACACTGGCCAGGCAGCAATGCTTGCTTTTAAATCATTCTTCTGACATCAAAGTTACAACTAAATTACAGAACAACCATCATTCAAAACCACCTGAAATCAAGCTGAATGGAAGTCCTACAACTACGGAATTAAAGCAGCAGCCACATCCAGACTGGTAGGAGGGGCGGAGGCGGATGGGCTGGTCCCACACCCACGTGTGCCGGATAAAAATCAGGAGGACACCTCGGCTGGGAAGGTCCTCCCTGAGGACTGAAGGGTCCCCATCCCACACCAGACGCCCCGCTCAGGGTTCCAGTGCCAGGAAGAGAATCCCCATAACTTCTGGCTGGAAAAACCAGCGGGAACTGAGGCTCAGGGAGGCTGAGGTGGCTGGAGCCCCAGGCAGCTCCCTAAAGGGCCCGCGCACGGACTTATCGGACTCTCTCCCTCTAAGCTTGGAGGGGAGGCAGCTCCAGGGGCGCCAGAGACATACAGGGAAGAAGTGAGCTGTTTGGCACTGGAGCAAGGGCTGGAGAGGGGGCTTTCTCCAAGACAGACGTGCTGTCAGAGGCCTTTGTTCCTTTGGTGAGCCCTTCCCTGGGGCAGCAGACAGCCACCATATCTGGGACTCCAGCAACCTGGCTCACACTGGTAGCTCCGCGCTGGTGACTCCCTGAGGCCCTGCCCCACCCAACTTTCAAGCCCACCCAAGCTGTTGCCACTTGCTTAACCATAGGATTGGCCTGTCTTGGATCTTGCTTCAGGTTTTCCTAAATTCTTTCAAACAAGCAGCATCTGGTCTCAGCTAGCCCCATACCTCTCGTTAAGTAATACACAGAAACAAACACAGGGAGGCAGCCAAAATGAGGAGACAAAGAAACAGGTCCCAAATGAAAGAACAGAATAAAACCCCAATAAAAGAACTAAGCGAAATAGAGATAAACAACCTAACAGATGCTGAGTTCAAAATACTGCTTATAAGGATGCTCAATGAACTTAGTGAGAACCTCAGTGAACTTAGGGAGGGCCTCAAGAGCATAGAAAAGGACCAGTCAGAAATGATGGATGCACAGTCAGAAATGAAGGAGGCATTAACTGAAATAAAAAATAATTTACACAGATTCAATAGCAGAGTATGTAAATCCAAGA